AGATGGATATGCGGAGCAAATCCATCTGGCGGAGTCAGGTTAAAAGAGTGGATGCAATCAACCTGTTTTCCTTAGAAAACATTGGATCAATCTGACTGGATGATCTGGTGAACTGGAAAGTGCCTTGATTGGCTGTAGAAATAAACTGATTTGAACTGAATATAGAAAAATGTTAAGTTTAACATATTTATAGCTGAAAAGTAAGACGGACAAAGTTATGGTTCTTTCTAAAAATTGTGTTTATGTCATAATGTTCTTTTTTAAATGATTTTTAAAGTGAATAAAATTGATTTTTCTCCTTAAAACCCACCCTTCAAAGTAATTATACAATTAAGAATATTTGAACAGTAAAGCTGAAGTTAAAAACTGTTCGAACTACATGTGAATTTTAATCAGCTTAGAGCTGTACATTCCCTTTTTAACTAAACGGTTCGGTTCAATGGCTGCCGCGTCCTCTTCCAATATGGCGACCGCACCGACGTTTTAGGGTTACTTATGTCCCTCTTAGCTTTCCGTAATGTTTACATCCGGTTAAACCAAAATGGTCTTCAAAAGATCATATAGATTTTTAATGCACGTATTAAACGCCTTTTTAAAAACTTTATTATGAATATTTACGTATTGATGTTAATGTAAACTTTATAGGTTTATAAAGTTTTCGTGCTTTTGGAGGAGGAAGCCTCATCCTGCAGGCTAATAACACCGAGCAGCTGATGGCGGAGGTGGAGGAGCTGCGGCCCGTTCCGAGGGAGAGAGCCATCCTGGAGAGCTTCTTCGCTCAGCTCGGGATGTTCTCCTTCGACCGAGCCAAGGACTACGTGGAGAAGGAGAAGGACAGCAGCCGGAGCTCCGGGGCCATCTGGAGCTCCCTGCTGGCGGCGCTGGCTCACCTGGCCGCCGCGGAGAAGGTGTATCACAACCTGACCTTCCTGGGGCAGAAGATAGGTAACTATAGGGAGGCTTCACTCAGGAACAAAAAAACATCTTAAGTTTGTTTTTTCGACTGAAAACTGTGTTTTTGTTAGAGAAAGGCAGCCATCACATGACTGAACACTTTTAAATTTAAAGCTGCATTTTTATAGAGTGTTTGGTCCATTTGTGACACCCTCCATCCAGCCAGGGGCGGATTATGGGAATTTGGGGCCCTAGGCAAAGACAGACAGGGGGCCTCTGAACTGAGAAGAAAACACATCAAACAGCCCCATTCTACAGATAGAGAAATGTTAATAGAATAGACATCCATTATAGGGTTGCAAAATGTTATGAACTAATGTGCTGATTGATAGTGAAGTTAAAGGAATAGTACACCCAAAACATGATTAGCCTTCATTTTCTACTCACCCCCATGCTGAACAACACGCTGGAGTACTTTTTTGATATCTCAAATGCATCTGGAGATCTGGGAGGCTTCTTGCTGTCTGCTGACAT